GTCTCTTTTAATAAATTACATAATTAATACAAAAATAGCACTTATGCCATAACAGTCAATATAATCCTACCTTCCAACTTTTTTCATGATCCCATTGATTTTGATACATAATTTTATGATGCAAGCCAACTGGAAATGTCGCCATCGGAAAAGGAACTTCCCAGTACAAACATGCGCTTTCTGATGTTTTGTTTATTAAGGTGAGATTGTAAGGTTTGTTTGGAATAACTGAAAACAGGAATACAATTATTCTCGACCATCAAGCGTGATGTATATCAAAAAATAATTTCCTGATATTTCCTATTATTTATTATATTTATTTATACATGAATATTTATATAAATATCTATATAAAAAAATATAAAATAGCCTGCAAGATTTACGTACCATTAGGATAATGCTGAACACGATACGTATAATTTTCATTCCCGAAAGCATTAGATACATTCAATACGAAAGTATAGGAGGCATATGGTTGCCTGTATATTGGATCGGTATGTATACTCCAAATGCACGAATTCGGCTTCATAGTCACAAGTGGGCAATAAAAAAGCGCCCTTATTCTTCCAGGTAAATAAAACATTAATTCGTATTTCGTATAGACATAATTAGGTTGTGGCTCCCAAGTACAATGAAAACTTTCCCAATTGTAGGCGATACATTCGAAGTTTTTCGGTTTGGATGGTGGATCTGTTATAAAACGTGAATACAATAAAATTAATCATTTTATATAAAAATAAACATTGTTGAAAAAACGTGTGTTATATTCTTTTTTTCACATATGTAAATAATTTTTCAAAACAGTTTTAAATTCGCCAGATATATCGATAACAAATATTTGAAATTGTGTTTATAAACATTACATGTCATGTCGTGTTATAATCTGTTTGGTATCAATCGTAGCTTATTTTTGCCAACATAAATTCTCAATTTCTATCATTTCTAAGATTGCAGATACTTTAACATGTTAAGATTATAATCTATTAAATAAATATGATATCTATATTTACATTTATGAATCATATATAAAGATA